ACTTTCTAAAAGACTTAATAAAAAGATAAATTTAATTTTATTATATGTAACCTAATATATCCAAAATATTGTCATTTAAACACGTAATCAATATTAAAATCATTAATGAGATACTTTCAGTTTTAAAAAAATTTTAATGTTTATTTATTTTTGATAGAGAGACAGAGCATGAGTCCAGGAGGGAAAGAGAGAGAGGGAGACAGAATCAGAAGCAGGCTCCAGGCTCTGAGCTGTCAGCACAGAGCCAAACGTAGGGCTCAAACTCACAAACCATCTGATCGTGACCAGAGCCAAAGTCAGACACTTAACCAACTGAGCCACCCAGGTGTTCCTTTTTTTTTAAATACTAAATCTTAGAAATCTGGTATTGCACACTCATATAACCTTCCAATTCAGGCCTAAAAGTAAGAATAAGTTACCAGAAAACATGATTTCTTTTATTTCATTTGCTCAGCAACTATACGTAACACTGCTAGTTAATGCGGCTATAATTGCTCTGACTTCTGTCCCAAGGCAGGCTAGTATTAGATATGTGGGTTCTGGAACCAGCCAGTCCGAGTTTCCATCCTGAAGCCACCAACGCTAACTGTGTGACAAAGGGCATCTCACTTTCTGTGCCAGAGGTTTCTTACATGTAAAATCTAATGGGGTTGTTACAAGAATGATATGAGTTAATATTTAGTGCCTGACAAGTACTAGGCATTAAATGTTAGCCATTGTTATTGCTATAGTCAGAGAACACATAGGAACAAACTCTTATTTGTATCCTCCCCCCAGTAAATTCTATAAGAAACCAAACACATTAGATCTATTACAGGGTTGGTTATGTGTTGAACTGTATCCCCCCGTAAGATATACTGAAGTCATACCCCCAGTACCTCCGAAAAGAACCTTATTTGGAAATAGGGTAGTTAGAGATATAGTCAGTTAAAATGAAGTCACATTGGTTTTTTATATTTTGGTCCTTAACCCATTATGACTTGTGTCCTTATAAGAAGAAGAAAACTTAGAAACAGAGACATACAGGGAGAATATTGTGTTGCAAGAGGGCCAGAGACTGGGTGACTCAGCTGTAAGACAAGGAAGTCAAGGACTGCCAGTCACCATCAGAAGCTAGGAAGAAGCAAGGTAGGATTCTACCCCAAGTAGAATCAGAGAGAACGTGGCCCTGCTGATACCATGATTTTGAACTTCTAGCACTCAGAACTATGAGAGAACAAATTTTTGTTGTTTTAAGCCACCCAGTTTGTGGTACTTTGTTATGGCAGCCCCAGGAAACTAATACAGAGTTCTTCACCCAAAAGGAAGCACTCTGTCTTAGAAACAGCCAAGGTTTGGATGACCGACAACTTGGCAACTGCAAAGTCTCCCAGAGTCAGTGGAAGCTTTTATAAAGTCTGGACAATCCCATCTTCCCAAGGGCTCTGAGGCTGGTCCTTAACTCCACAGACATACTTCAGGAAAAGCCTGCCCTTAGAGATGGGGTCTTAGTGGGACAGCTGCCTGTAAAAGGGTTGGGCTAAGTTACAAACGCTGAGAAACGATGCTGGTTCCGTGGGAATGACACTGGTGTGAGCATGTCACAAAGGTTACTATTTTTTAAGCTGAAGTATAGTTAACATATAATGTTTCATTCGTTTCAGGTGTATAACACAGGGACTCAATAATTCTATTACTCAGTTCTCACGATGATAGTGTAGTCAACACCTGTCACCATCTATTACACTGTTACTGACCATATTCTCTATGCTGTACTTTTCATCTCTAGGACTTATTTTATAGCTGGAAGTCTCTACCATTTGTTTTTAATGGACTTGGTCCCTTTTTGCCCACGTTTTCCCCCCTAACATGCTATCATGATCAAAATCTACTAATTCTAATTGGGTTTTTTACGAAGTTTTTCTGTATATCCTTAAAAACTAAGCACTAAATGTGGAGCACACTAAGTAGTAAAATAAAAATAATCTGGGGGCACCTGGGTGGCTCAGTTGGTTAAGTGTCTGGCTGCTGGTTTCAGCTCAGGTCATGATCTCACAGTTCATGGGTTCGGGCCCCACATCGGGCTCCATGCTGACAGAGCAGAGCCTGCTTGGAATTTTTTTTTCTCTCTCTCTCTCCCTCCACCCCTGGCTCCTCCTGTGCGCTTGTGCTCCCGTGCATGCTCTCACTCTCTCTCAAAAATAAGTAAACAAAATTTAAAAAAACTCAAGTGAATTTTTTTATTTTTAATACTGGCACTGGTAACTATTCTATATGCTAGTTTCTACAGTCTTCATCCTCCTAAATTAACAGCTATGTTCCTTTTCTTCCCAAATATACACTTACAAAATGAAGCTCTCAATCACATAAAAAAATTTTGCGACAAATTTAGCAAAGAAATAATTTCTCTAACAGAAACACCTGTTTTCCCAAGTCAGAAATGCCTGGCTGACTGACCACACAGAAAATGCTCAATAAATGTTTACTAGACTGATCTTAATCTGATGACTCTAAAATACTTTTGTTTCACTGGAAACATGTTTCCCCTACAGCATTATTTAAGTATATTAGTGCCCCCCTTCAAATCTCTATTAATATTTATAAGAATGTAAACTGCTTCAAGTAGAACTTTCGACTTAGAGAGACTCTTGGACATTTCTACTTTACAGAGGAGATAACCAGAGCAAAGGAATGTTAAACACTTGACCAAGGTCATGGAGTTATCAAATGTAGGTCCAAACTACAACTCTTGTCACCCATGTCACCTGAAACCCAGTTCAAGGGCTTTCACCCCACACCACCAAGCACTGAATATGATCATGCTGACAGATGAGGGGGGCAAGCAGCAATTAACCACTGAATTTAAGTGGACTTTAGAAAAAGTCTTTACGGTTAAATGAAATCATGCCTGTAAAGGTCTTAGCTGATTTTACCTTAAAATGGGTATTTTAAACACTTGTTAAATGGAACTACTCCTGGCGTAGCAGAATTCAGAGATGCAATGTGGAGTAACGGAGAGCCGGTGGGCTTTCAAATCAGATGCACCTGGGCTCCACCGGAAGTGCTCACTCATGGGCTTAAGTACTCTGGGCCAATCTCCTGAACTTTCTATACATCTGCTTTCTCACAAGCAAAATGGGGATAATGAAGCAATAAAGCATACCAAATATCAGATAAGCAGAGGCATTTGTTAGTACTAACAATGAATTTATAGTCTGTTCTCTGGTGCCTGGAATCAAGAATATAAAGAATTAAAAGAGCTGTCTCCTGTGAGGAACTCTATCCCCCTGCACCAGAAGGGAGGAGGCCAGGCCCACATCACGTCCCCCTGTGGCACTCCTAGGCCGCGCTCACGCGAGACCTCACGCACGCCCTCCCCCGCACTGACATTTCAGTCACGTGCCCTTACGCTGCTGCCTCCTGGGTGTTCAGACACCTCCCCTTGTAGCACCCTGCTTATGTCTTTTTCTCTCTAGGCTCCCCTGTTTTTAAAAACCCTCCCTTCACGCACTTCATTCTCTCAAGCACCTGATTTTGACTAGAAAGGTACAGACTACTTAGCAGATTAGCTTGTCTGTCTCAGGCAGCATTCCCAAATTCTGTTCTGTGGAACACCAGCCTCTAAGACGCTTCGGGGTAAAAAGGTCAAATAAGTTTGAGAAATGCTAGAGACTAAATTCCACTACACAGATGCCCGCTGGCAGATGAGGCGTCTCACCGTCTGTCTCCTCGGCACTTCTGGTTCCCTTCTACCCTAAGGCCTTCTACCGCAAGCACCTCCGCCTCGGCCTGAGGACCCTCTGTCCGGAGCTTGCTCTGCCAGCCTCCGGACAGTCACAGGACTCACGCAGCCACGAGTAGTATCTGCAACCGACGGCAGGTGGGAGCTGACAGGTACATCTACTCCAGCGCCCTTGTCCTCGAGCGGCACAGCCCTGAGATGGATTCTACAGTTTTCCAGAGGTCCCTGGCAGGAGAGGACCCCAGACACCAACGCCAATGACGCGCTCTTTAATGCATCCTATGTCTACTGGCTTTCTCCCTTCTGTCTGATTTCCCTAAAACCTTACTGGCATTTCATAGGACCATCTTTGGAATAAACTACTTGTCTTAGGATCTGTTTTTCTTTCCTCGAGATTCATGACACACACTAGCAATATTAGCTATGAGAAATCTTTGGGGGAAAGGAATTCATTTAACTATATTTAGTCAGAAATTTTATTTAGTAAGTTTCCCAAATTTATTTGTCATGGGAATCTTTTTATTCACTCATTCATTCATGTGTTTATGTAGGTTCCAGGGGACCCCATTTATTTATTTCCTTCTTTCTGTAAGTAGGCTCCATGCCCAGTCTGGGTCTTGAACTCACATCCTCGTGATCCAGAGTTGCATGCTCTACCATCTGAGCCAACGAGATGCCCCATGAGAACCTTTTTAAAAGGGTGAGAGTTTTGATCCTATGACACTAGTGTTCCTCTTTGGTATATACTTTGGGAAATGCTAGTGAAGCATTAATGATTGACAGATTAAAGTATTATCCCTCTCAGAGGTATCATAACAGCTTCTGCAAATCAGTACTTTCTCACTGAAAGACCTGGGTCCCTTTAGATAAGAAGTTCAGGTTCTATGGTACATGTGATGGAAAATAATTTGAAGTGTGTGTCTTATGTCAAGCCCTTCAAATCAAGTCAGGTTGGTAACTGTCTACTCTGCTATCAAGAGCTAACAGGAAATTATGGGTAGGTTTGTTGGTTCAACAGTATAGTCCAAAGACTTATAGGACAGTGAAGGCGGTATCTGGGAAGATGATAGTCATGTCCTGAAATTGCTCTAGAGAAATAAAAAATCTTTAGGAAAAATGAGCTCAGACCAAAACCATCAGATGCCTAGGACTGCAATATTCCTTAAGATAGCTGAGGAATAAAATCAACAGTGATCAGAATTTTAAATACTTAAGACTTGAATTACTCTTTAATCTCCATAAAAAGAGGTTCCATGATACAGGAATATAGACTGGAAATACTCTGGAAAGCAGTCTTGGTTTACCTTTAATACAAACACTGGCAATAGCCATGTACTCACTCTACTGTCCAGGCTGGACCCCACCAGAAGGAAGTGGCAAGAAGTCTTGTGAATAGACAGTACGTGGGAGGTGAGTGAGGGGGTAAAAGGTCAGCGTGATAAGAGCATGCTTAGAGCAAGGTGGGACAGTTCACCTCCAGAACCTGATTTCTGCCATCTACAGCAGTTTTCTTCCCAACTCTACAACATAATGTACACTATCTCTTTTGTCATCACACTGTCCTCTCTCATGGCCATTTTCCAGATGCTGAGATAGCAAATATTTCAAAATCAGTTGCAATGGATTGACACTAAAACATGCCACTTTTGGGGTCAATGCTGCTATTCTGAAAATCTCACTTATAAAATGTTAATAAGTGAGATACAAATCAATAAAGAGAATTTCAAATAATCCTAATCCTTCTAGGAGTGCATTCTCTGTATTAAAAACAACACAAACAGAAAACTAGCGTGGAGTGAGAAAATGTGGTAAAGGAGTACTGAGAATCGAACGTGGCCGTGCACTGGAGGTGTCTGACATTTCCATCTTCATCAAGGGGGATTCTGTCAAGTAGCAACTCAAACTCTTCACCAGTAATCTCCACCCCAAACCTGAAACAAATAGCAGTTAGCATCAGTCACCCCCCAAGTTCACATCTGGGTCAACCGTACCCACAATACCCTAAGCATATGGCTGCCATTACCGCTTTGTTATTGCTGCAGTCCTCAAGATCAAGAGCACCACGTGAATATCAGAGGTTAATCAGGGTGTTGATCGCTTCAGCTTTCTCAAAGAAAGAGATTCTACCACAGAATCCCTGCATTGGTGGTGCACAGAAATAGAAATACCGGCATGTTGAATTGTGTGTGATTGTCTTCTGTAAGAAGTTATTCATTACGCTAAAACACTGGTATCGCTTAAACAAGTTAACTCTGAAAGGCCTTTCAATTGGACTGCTTAGCATGAAAGAAAAGGTAGAGAAAAAAAGTGCCTTTCGAAAAACAGCTTCCTAATGCTCTTGCAAAGCATTTCATAATGGCTTTAAAGACATTTTGCATACAAATATTTAAAAAGTGGCAGTGTTTATTCATCAGCAAGAAAGTGTTTTCATCTCCCAAGAACAATCAAAACATAATCCTTGAATTACTGGCATAAATAAGAATGACTTAAGCAATAATAATGAACAAGGCATTCATTCATCATTCTGCAAAGCTGATAAGACCCAGCTGACTTTTGGAAAAGAGGAAGAATAGATTTTCTTTAGGCAATGCTATGAAAGAATAACACGAGAAAGGGGTTTCTCCCCCAGTTTCATTATGACTTCCTTGATAATTATGAAACAAAACATATACACCAACAAGAATAACACAACAAAAATGGCTTTTTCACAGGCTACAAAGAATTGAGTTATCACATATTTGTATTTCAGAAGTACCTGAATGTGCATAGTGTCTCAGAGGCTTTGCAGTTGGATGTCCTTTTTTCACTTGCATCAAATTAGGGCGGGGAGGACAGAATCAGTTATTCAATGAAACACATAATACTTTTTATCTTATTCCTTGCTTTTCTTTTTTCTTCTGCATTTCTTTAGCAATGATGTTACTCGTACTAATGAGTAAATCTATGGCATTTTCCTGAGAAGTTAAAATTAATTCTCAGGTTTTATTTGGATTTAAATTCTTAAAGTCAGTACTTACAAAAGAAAATAAACAGGTTTCTCCTAGGCATACTGGAAAAAATGCCACACCAGAAAGTCAAGAGAACTGAATCTATTCTGTTCATAGCTATGTACTCATGGCAAAAACACTAGACTGTCATATTTCAGTTCTCTCAAGTCTCAAATGGTCTGTAAATTCTCTGTATCTTACTTAGTGGCTACAGGATTAGGAGAGAATGAAAATAAAAGTGCCATGAAAAACGAGAATATCATAAAAATACTATGTATTGTGAAAAAATATTGGGTATTGTCTATTATTATTACTGACAGAGAGGACAGTTTTAAAAATCTTCAAAAAAATACTGGAATGTGGGGCTTAAACCTAACAGTGACACAAGTAGCGCTTTTTCTCCAGAGGTCTTCCTTCTGAGTGGAATATGGCATCATGGAAAAAGCGTGGGATTCAGATTAACTGGACCAACATCTGAATCCAGCCCTGCATTTAGCTGTATGTAGCCTTGGGCAATTAACTTAATTCCCAGAGCCTCAGTTTCTGTACCTATAAAAAGAAAGGTTACTTAGAAAACTGAAAAAATTAATACGTCATACGCACATACTCTCTGTAATGTGAAGTATATTTTCAGCGGGGGAGGGGGGAGGCGGTTTGTATTTTCTTAAATTACCTTCCTTTTATTGATGGATAAACTGAAGCTTTCTCTAACCACTTCAATCCTACCTCAGTGACCTAGTTACTATATCATGCCTTTTTTATTACTATTTTCCTTATCCTTTGCTTTAAAATAGGTACCCTGGCTGCCATGCATACCACTGTATCCCTAGAACTTGTAACAATGACCAGAAAGTGCTCAATATTTAATAAATGAATAACTCATGTCTCTTATAAGAGGATATGTGTTCATAAAAAGAGGAACTCTTAAAAGCTACCATTCCTTTATCCATTCTAATAGAAGGTAGCTGGATGGCCCACAACAGTAAAAAATTAAAGTCAGATATATTTGCTTTAGAATACATTTTATGCTTCCCATTAAGCGTGGATATCCTATATTCACAAATTTAACCAGACTTCTAATAAAATAACTAAGCTACATTTATTCATCCTTTTGGTTATTCAACAAATATTTTGGGACCACCTACTATGTGTTAGACAATATATTAAATGCTTGGGATATAGTGATAAGACATACCTTACTATAGAACAAGGAAAATACTAAACAAGAATTACTTGTTTACTAGAAGAAACACAGGATTTTAAGGGAGTTGTTAACAACATGACCGAGCTCAGACTGAAGATGAGGAAAGGCTTCCTGAGGAAAAGATGAGCTGAGTTATCTCGGCAGAGAAGGAGAAAGAGCATTACGGGTAGAGAACAGGCACATTCTGGACATGAAAGGATCACAATCTTACTGAAGCCTGGAGTTCAGGTGAGAGAAGGGAGAGAGACCAGGTTTGCCAGAAAGATGAATGCCGAGCTGTACAGACATTACAGCAGTGCCCCCTTAGCTGCAGCAGATATGTTTCAAGATCCCTGCCCTGCCTGAAAGGGCAGATAGTAACGAATCCCGTACATACTCTGTTTTTTTCCCTATACATACATACCTACGATAAAGTTTAACCTATCAATTAGGTACAGTAAGAGATTAACAATAATAAAATAGAACAATTATAACAATATGCTGTAATAAAAGTTATGTAAATGTGATCTCACTCTCAAAATATCTTATTTACTACACTCAACCTGCTACTTGTGATGTTGTGAGATCATAAGATGCCGATGTGATGTGATGAATTGAGGCCCATGACGTAACCATTGTGACACAGAGTTAGGCTACTACAGACCTTCTGACATGTTGTCATGAATCAGCTTCTGAATCTGGACTGCGGCTGACACCTGGTAATTGAAGCCATGGAAAGTGAAGTCACAGGTAAGGGTGAGGGAGACTGCTGTACATGCAGCCACTTTTTAAAAGTACAGGCTTTACACTGAGATATCACCTCACACCAGTCCGAGTGGCTAAAATGAACAAATCAGGAGACTATAGATGCTGGCGAGGATGTGGAGAAATGGGAACTCTTGCACTGTTGGTGGGAATGCAAACCGGTACAGCCGCTCTGGAAAATAGTGTGGAGATCCCTCAAAAAATTAAAAATAGAACTATCCTATGACCCAGCAATAGCACTGCTAGGAATTTATCCAAGGGATACAGGAGTGCTGATGCACAGGGGCACATGCACACCAATGTTTATACAGAGCTTTCAACAATAGCCAAATTATGGAAAGAGCCTAAATATCCATCAACTGATGAATGGATAAAGAAGACATGGTTTATATATACAACGGAATACTACTTGGCAATGAGAAAGAATGAAATCATGCCATTTGCAGCAACATGGTTGGCACTGGAAGGTATTACACTGACTGAAATAAGTCAGTCAGAGAAGGACAGATATCATATGTTTTCACTCATATGTGGATCCTAAGAAAATTAACAGAAGACCATGGGGGAGGGGGAGAGGAAAAATAGTTATAGAGGGGGAGGGAGGCAAACCATAAGAGACTCTTAAATACAGAGAACAAACTGAGGGCTGATGGAGGGTGGGGGAAAGGGGAAAATAGGTGATGGGCACTGAGGAAGGCACTTGTTGGGATGAGCACTGGGTGTTGTATGAAACCAATTTAACAATAAATTATATTTTAAGAAAGACGAAGAAGAAAAAAGTACAGGCTTTACTTGAAAGGGGTGAGATGCCATTTGTGATGGTCTTTTTAATGTGTCAACTTGGCTAGGCTAACAGTCCTCAATCATTCAATCAAACACTAATTTAAGTGTTGCTGTGAAGGTGTTTTGCAAATATGACTAAAGTTCATAATCAGCTGACATTAAGTAGAGGAGATAATCCTAGATAATCGGGTGGGCTTGATTCAATCAGTTGAAAGACCTTGAAAGGAGAAATTCTGCCTATACACAGCAACTTCAGGCTGTGCCTGAGAATTCTAGCCTGCCCTTCCTGACAGCCTGCCCTTCGGGCGTCTAGACTTGCCCAGCCAGCCTCAACCAGTGTAAACCAATTCCTTGTAACAAACCTCTCAGCAAACATCTCCTGTTCTTTCTGCTTGTCTGGTTGAACCCTAACTAGTATTTCATTAAAGGATTTAAAGCACATAGTGAAACCAAATTTGTGTTTTTAAAAGCACTGTCTGAATTGAGAGGGATTTGAGAGAGAGCAATACTTGAATCAAATAGACACTTCAGAAGGAAGCTGTTGAGACAATCCCAATTAGAGAGGATGGGAGCTTGACTGAGATAAAAGTATGAATGACAGAAACAATGGGTTGGGGATATTCTTGAAGTAAAAGATACAAGATTTGATTTATTTTTTTTAATTGGATATAGAAAGTGCGGGAGAAGTCCAGGGTAATTCCTAAGTTTCTGGCTTGGATGACTGGGTAGCTGGGGGTGTCATTAACCGAGATGAAGGAACACTGGAAGAGAAACAGGTTGTGATGGTGCAAGTGAAGGTCACGAGTACAGTTTTAAACATGTTGAGCTGGGACTGTGTGATATCCAACAGGAAGTCCCAGTAAGAAGGTAGAAGTGGGTCTGAAGCTCAGGAGAGACACTGGCTGTAGATCTAAATTCAGGAGTCACTGCTATGTAAAGGTGATCGGAGGCTATCGGATTAGATGAGATTATAAAGGAAAATACATACAGTGAGTTGAGAAGAGGACACAGAACAGAGACCCTACTTAAGAAATGAGCAGAGGAAAAGAATCCACAAGAGAATCTAAGAAGTCATGAAAAAAAAATGGCAGAAAGGAAGCCAAGAGAAATGGTAATGGGAGCCAAGAAGACAGAGGGCTTTGACGAGATCAGGCACATTCAGGGTGCTATGGCCGTAGACGACAGAGGGCTTTGAAAAGGAGGCAGTGATCAGTCATTTCAAAAGCAGTTAAGAGGTCAAGCAAACTATACACTGCTATTAAATTTGGAAATAAGAAGCCAATGGCCCTGGTGAGAGCAGTCTAGTAGAGTGATGGGGTCCACAACCATACTGTAGTGGGTTGAGGAGTAACTGGAACTTGAGGGAAGAGACACAAAACGCGCATCTTCTCAAGAACCTTAGGTATGAAGGTAAGGAAAAAGAAGGTAAGCAGGAAGGAAGGGTGGAGTCAAGAGAGCTGTTGACTTTTTTAAAGATGAGTAATATGAGGGGCGCCTGGGTGGCTCAGTCATTTAAGCGTCCGACTTCAGCTTGGGTCATGATCTTGCAGTTCATGGGTTCGAGCCCCACATTGGCTCTGTGCTGACAGCTCAGAGCCTGGAGCCTGCTTCGGATTCTGTGTCTCCCTCTCTCTCTGCACCTCCTTAGCTTGGGCTCTCTCTCTCTCTCTCTCAAAAATAAATACACATTTTTAAAAAGATAAGTAATATGAGCACTGTTAAATACTGGCAGGGGCAGTGCCAAGACAGAGGTAAAAAATAGAGAAAAAGAGAGGGAATCACTGATGGATCCTGTAAAAGATCAAAGACCACAGGTAGACCGGAGAGAAAACACCTCTTTCACTGAAACGGGGAAATAAGGAAACAATGGGTTTACAGAATTTGCAATATCAGGAGGTCCTCCCGTTCTGATTTTGCTGTGATGCAAGGCTATTTTACAGAGAGAGGGGCAGGGGAGGAAGTGAAAAGGCACGCGTTTTGAACAAACTGAAAAAGGTTTGAAATATGCAGAGTGGAGACTGGGATACAGAGTTGACTGAGAGAACATAGTAGGGAGTGACAGAGACAGTTGAGAGCTCAGTTGAGGCTGGTGACAGTGAATTTACTGTGATATAAATCTACTCAATAGTATGATTTTCCCCAGTAAGCTGGGTGCAGGTGAAGACTAAATGGACAATTGGGTTCATCCATATTTGGGAATCTGCCACGTATATGTGAATAAAAGAGAGTTGGGGAGATTGACAAGAGGCTGTCTCCCAAGTGGGGGAACAGGTTTTAAGCTGTGGTCTAGCTCAGCTGTAGTCAATGGACCAGATAGGAGATACTGGTCAGAACTAGGCTGAAAGTGTGATTTCACAGGTAGAGTTATTTTGGATGATGACACACTGCTGGGAGAGTCAGGTAGATGTAAGAGTAAAAACTGATATTTACTGAGAATTTAATATGTTTCTTAGCCTCCTGAACCCAATAACACACTGTATGTTGACTAACTTTAATAATAATAATTTAAATAAATAAATAAATGATTGTAAAAGAGGTGTTCGTAGCACGGTGCTGAGCATTTCACATGCACTGTCCCCGTATAATCCCTTCAACCGTCAATTAAGTATTATTGTCATTGCCAACAGTGTCCTGACAGTATCCGTGAGATCTCTGGGGTGCCTAAAGAGGGCGGGAGAGAAGTGGTCTGGAAACGAACACGGAAGAGAGAGGACAAGGGGCTCTTGGCAGGGCTTCCGGGAAGCAGTGACCCTAGCAGACAGCCCGACACGTAACCTAGATTGTAACGCTTCGATGAAGTGAAGAGCCTAGTAGAGCGCACTCCTTCTGGATTGGAACTTCCATCAGGCACAGTGGGAAGCTGTTAAAGGACAGGAATGAGAGTTTGAAAGAGGGAATGAGAAACTCAGATAAACATTAGGATAAGGGAACACTGAGAGGGTACATAGGGTAGACAGTTGAGAGGTTCACAGCATGGGTAGTATGACAAGAAAAATGCATGTGAGGCCACAGGGACTTAGATTCTAAAAGAAACCTTCGAACATAATCATCTAGCCCCTACTTTCATCTCATCACTCATTCTGTCCCTCCTGGCAGCGGTCAGTAGCTTAAATTCTCAGACTGTAGTGGTAGCCAATATTCACTGACCTCTTACTATGTGTCAGACATTACATGCACTAATTTCTTTAATCCTCACAACAATAATAGGAAGTACTGGGTCGCCTGCGTGGCTCAGTCTGTTAAGCGTCCGACTTCAGTTCAGGTCATGATCTCACGATTCGTGAGTTCGAGCCCTGCATGGGGCTCTCTGCTGTCAGCACAGAACCCACTTCAGATCCTCTGTCCACCTCTCTGTCTGTCCCTCCTGCTCCCCTGTGTGCACATGCACGCACCTTCTCTCAAAAATAAATAAACATAGGGGCGCCTGGGTGGCTTAGTCGGTTAAGCATCCGACTTTCGCTTAGGTCATGATCTCGCGGTTCGTGGGTTCGGGCCCCGCGTCGGGCTCTGTGCTGACTGCCAGCTCAGAGCCTGGAGTCTGTTTCAGTCTGTGACTCCCTCTCTCTCTGACCCTCCCCTGTTCACGCTGTCTCTCTCTCTCTCTCTCTTGATCTCGCGGTTCGTGGGTTCGAGCCCCGCGTCGGGCTCTGTGCTGACTGCCAGCTCAGAGCCTGGAGCCTGTTTCAGAGTCTGTGACTCCCTCTCTCTCTGACCCTCCCCTGTTCACGCTGTCTCTCTCTCTCTCTCTCTCTCCTAGAAATAAATAAAACATTAAAATAAATAAATAAATAAACATTAAAAAAAGAAGTACATCCTATTATCGCCACTGCACAGTGAAACCTTACGTAGGTAGTATCTGGTAGAGCCTGAACTTGGGCCCTGCTCACTGACTTGGAGCCCTAAAGCTTGCCATTTTGTTAATTATTACTGTGTGAGTAGTGCTGTCATTTCTCTCCCCACAGCTGTCTTTCCTACACCATACACTTTCTCTAGCAGAAAAAGGTCTCTCCACAATCCTTCCAGACAAACTTAAATGTTAATGTATGATAAGATTATGATAACGTCAATGCCTCCATAGCCAACCTTTAACACCATACTCTATAAATGGATCTTGAAATAAGCACAATTCATCTTGGACTTTATCCGAGAGAGCTTCCATTTTTAAGTACCCAAAAGACCTCTTTTCTTAGAGGCATATCGCTCAAAGACAGTATTTTAGCACCAATCTAGTGTGTTTTAAAAAATCTGTCACAAAATAACTTTATTCTGTCCTCAGGGTGGAAACTGGTTTCTGATATTTCTCCCTGAGCACAAAGCACAAGTTACTGTCAGGTTTATTATTTTAAATTCCATAACAGACAATATCTGAGGGATTTTTTTTAGCTCCATACATTTTTCTGCATATAACAAACAAGCATAGTAGCTTTCATATATATTAAGTAAGTAGAAATCCCATTAAAGAATTCTCCTTTTCTGTTACTTAACTGTTTTAAAACATCAAAGTACAGTATCTGTGTATAGAATGCAAGAAGCAAGAAAAGTTAAAAACCCAGCAAAGGAACAAACCATAGTTGGACTCTAACTTAATACTGATTTAGCAGTCAGGCTTTGCTTTTAATAGGTGCCATTTCCAAAAAACCAAAAAGACTTAAATAAAAAAGATGTGGTATAAGGCCTCACATTTTATTTACTCCAAAAGGTAACTATAATAGGAAGGCTTAACTTAAAACTAAAGCATTTATATATACCAATCATTTTTAAGCTCTTTCCTAAGGACCTTGTAAATGGAATTCTTCATAAACAACAACAACAACAACAATACTATCTATATTAGCTAAATATATTTCAAAATAGAGATAATACTATGCTATAATAAATTTGGGTTTGTTTCATGGTATTTTAGCATTGATTCTTCGGCCAAATCCCTTGAGATAGGACAATATATTTTCCTGATCAATCTATGTTTAATTGAGTACTTATTTAGTGTGTTATTAAATCATATTTAATATTCAAAAAGTATTTAAGGATGATACTCTTTTCTCTAAAGAAGTATTGGGTGGGGGGCGCTTGAGTGGCTCCGTCGGTTAAGTATTCGACTTCGGCTCAGGTCATGATCTCGCAGTTCGTGGGTTCGAGCCCCATGCGGGGCTCTGTGCTGGCAGCTCAGAGCCTGGAGCCTATTTCAGATTCTGTGTCTCCCTCTCTCTCCTGCTCATGCTCTGTCTCTGTCTCAAAAATAAAATAAAAACTATATTTTAAGAAAAGAACTATTTGGGCTTGTTTTAAGACTTTAATTTCTTTAAAAAAATTTACTGTTTTATTTATTTCTGAGAGAGAGACAGCGTGAGTAGGGGAGGGTCATAGAGAGAGGGAGACACAGAATCTAAAACAGGCTCGAGGCTCTGAGCTAGCTGTCAGCACAGCGCCCGACGCGGGGCTAAAACTCACGAACCAGGAGATGATGATCTGAGCCAAAGTTGGACACTCAACCGACTAAACCACCCAGGCACCCCAAGACTTTAATTTCTTACGTTAAGCTTTTTTTTTTTTTCCAATCAGACCACTTTATCTTTAAAATATAGACAAGGATATATATGTGTGTATACACACACACACACACACACAAACACACACGTGTGTGTATAGGATATTTGTGTTGTTTGTTTTTATTTTTTAATAAGTTACCCTTAAAAAGAGAAGGATATTTGATATTATAGGGTAGTCCTTTTCTTATGTTAACTAAAGTGAAGTCAAGAAAAGAGCTTTGGAAAATGATTTTTTTAAAACATCTCTTAGCACAGGTAATAAAGAAGAAGTCCTGGGTTTGAGTCCTCACCTCTGCCACTTACTGGATGTGAGACTTTGATGTGAGTAAGTCTCTCAATCTCTCACAGATTGTTTCTTCATCTGTAAAATGAGCAAGATAATCACACTTAACCTATCAACCTACAGGATTATTTCCAGGGTCAAGTTGCTTAATAAACACACAGACTACTACACATAAATTCTAAGGCAGTCTCTTGGTGTCGGACATACATAATATTAACAATACAATTGGGTAAAGTTTGCATTCACTTCAATATTAACTGGAAAAAAAAAACTGGGTGGCTGGTTTCCTCACACTCCCTTTGCATTCCTTGCTCCTCCAGACGCAGTAAACTCGGTTTCCGCAGAATAAGATTTAATTTGAGTTAGTGGGAAACAAAGCAATTAGACGATGACTAATAGCCCAGACAGGATACGGCTGAAGATTTGAGCAAAAGAATGATGAGGAAGGTTTGATCCTGAGCAGGTGTTCTCCCTAGATTGTCTAACACGGGGTCGATGGACTTTGGGAACTACGGCTTGTTCCCAGGCGGGTGAGCCTTAGGGCCACTGGTTTTTCGAGATTTGGAAGGTCTCGGTGAGATCTTGTGGGAGGAGGTTGGGGGGGTTTCCAACCATTAAGGCGGAGATCTTACCTTGAGAGAGTCTTGTTGCCGCACACAAACGCTCTTCTCAACTAAGACTTGGAGACTCCAGCCTCTGTCTGGGGCTGTGAACCGCACAGGCCTCTGGGAGAGCCGCTGTGGGCGTGGCACTAGGGCATGCTGGGATGGGAAGGGCGTGCTGGGAAGGAGGGGCCCTGGGGCCTCTTGGGAAGAGGGACGGACATGGTTGCCTGAGTTCAGTTATCTCAGAAGTGAAGTTGTCCTAGTAGTGTCCGTTGTAGAGCTGTTCTTACAATGCAAGGCAGCTTGGATTCTTTACAGCCAGCGTCTCTTCTCCAGTCAAAGATGTGTTTCCCCCGTTGGGTTCCCCAAAGTTCCACGGCTGGGTCCAGATGGCCTGGAGGGGTGTGTTTCCCAGGGTCTCTTCCCCCTTTCCCCGGGGTTAATGATCCCCACCTGTGCTGACTTACCCATCCTGGCTGTTTAAGTCTTCCCTGCCTGGGCTCTGACTTTTTACAGCCCTGCAGGGAGAAAGGCCTCTGGAGTTTGACTTTTCTTCCACCTGGTGTAAATAATGCAGGCCCTCCAAAGTTTCCAAAATCATATTTCAAATTCCGGTGTTACATTTTTTTCCCCATCTCAGACAAATTCATTTTATGCTTGCATTAGTTTGGGAGAGCCCCAGCCCTATGTTGAGTGGATTATGCATGAAATCCTAGTAAACAGAACTCTGACATGACCCCAGGCACACACTTCAGAGTACGTGCTTCTGCGTCATTTTGAACACAAGGGATTTATACTTTTTTCTCCCCTCTCTAACTCTCTTTGGTATGACTGGCTGAGATTTGACAATGCACTAGATAGATTCTTGGTCTGACTTCACACTGGAGGTTTTACTAAGTGAAAAGTGGAAGAATATCCTTAACTCCCAGATGAAATGACCATCATTACCCTTTCATATGTCACCTATTCTAGTTCAAAATTTAGGGCAATTAGGTCCATCTGTGCAAACTATTCCATGCCAATCCTATTTTCTAAAAGCCTGATTTAAAATACTGTTAGGTGCATTGTAGTATATTTGTGAACTCTTAGGGTTCTCCCTTTCCTGTCAGTGCTTTGTGATTCTCTTGTGGAAAGGACCATCTGTAAATCAAAAGCAATTGGAGTTGCCTTATGAAATTTACAAAATGTAAGAGAGGAGCTGAAGGAAACAATTCAAGTTAATCAAAATAAAATATTCAATAGTTGAAAAAATTTTAATTATGACAATACATAAGTTCTGTCGTTATTGTAGATCATGTTTAATATTCATTTTGTGCAAATACAGTATATTATAGAACACGTTTATGACTGTAATCATCACCTTTAAGTCTGCCACTTGCATCACTTTAACAAATATTTTAAATGAAATTACATTTACTTTGGGATCACCACTTCATAGGTAAAGACAGAGGAGAGGTATAGCTATAAGTACAGATACAGACACAATTCTGTATGAATTTCTTCAATGTTAGGTTTCAATGCAAATAAAGTTTTCTTTTTTCAACTTTATTGTTTCTTCTGGACAATACAACTTATTTCTCTACTTGTTATGACTTTTTTCCTTATAACACAATGGAAATTATAGTTTTACAACAATGGTTTGAATAACATAAAAACTTGTAATCTAAAACATAACCCCCTCCCACAAGTACTGCTCCCTCCCCTCAAAGTAACTACCTTTGGCTTTTTGATGCTTCATCCTTTAGATTTTTTTTCATGCATCCATATATAAGCATCTATTATTATTTTACAATAAAAGTATATTTGAACAGTTACTCTGTCATTTTATTTTTTTCACTACGTTGATCTTAGATAAGCTGTGCTAATATTTGTATACTTAATTCTTTTTAAAAGCTATATGGGTATATCATTTAAATAGCCAGCCTCTTACTAATGTATATATTGGTTTGGTCTATTTTCTCCTTACACTTTTGCATTTTGAACTGTCTTTTTTTTTTTTCTTTCCATTGCATCTCTACCACCCACTGTCATCACCAGTTTGGTGTTTTCTAGTGGCCCAGGGCCACTTGACTCCGTTTTCATTTAGCCTTTTTTTCTGAAATGTTTTTCTGACTTTTAAGTCTTGTCCTTTCCTATAGAATATTCTCTTTTCATTCTCCTATTTTTCCCTCATTAAGGACAAAAGTCCTCTTACACAAAATCTCTTCCCTCTGGTAGAAGTGTGCACTCCTCACACTCTTTCCAACCCCAGTGGTGACGAGAAAGAGACACTGAGTATTAGGTTTCTGATAAGAAACAAGAGGCTGCTACTGGCAGGGAGCCTTGTCAAGGTCTCCCTCATTCTGAGCACTCCATTCCCACGTGAACAACAATGAATGGAGATTTCACCCGCCCACCCCACATTGTTCGAGTTGTCCTTTGCCCTTTCTGTCAAATCTTGGCACCCAGGAGACAGCAGAACATGTTCTGAATTCAACCCTGGGGAGCCACCGATCAATATCACTTGACTCTTCTTACCCATTAGTTGTTCTCTTTCTATGCCTGACGTGGAGTGACGCCTAAGCTATTCTTTGTCATGGCCCCTTCTCAGTTGGCCCAGCTAACCCCTATAGGGTGGGATGGCCCTCTCCATCCCCTAGGCAGAGCGCCACAGGCAGGGAGCAGAGCATGGACGGAGTATGAGGCGGAGTCTTGGGACATGGGTTCTCTTACCACTTCAGCTGCAGGCTCAGAGGGTGTGGAGAAAGTTAGTATGTTTTACCTCTTTGTGATCTTGGTTACCGAATACCAAGAATATTAACTGTCCACTTAACTCATGGAATACTATAAAAACGAAAATTTATAAAATGCTTTGAAAAGTCAGATTCCAGAGAAATGGAGTTTACTATTTTACGTGTCTCCTCTCCCATTTTTAGTACTAGCAATTTAATTTAATTACTTCCCTTTTCTTCCCTTTTCTCATTCCTAGTTTTTTTCTGCCATGCCTACCTATTCCTTCCCATGAAATAATTCTCATTTGTGGAGCATATACAATATATTTGTCTCCATGGAGATGTTCTTTCAGCAGAAGTGATTTTTTTTTGAGGGGGTGGGGTGAGTTCAGAGAGGAAGAAAGATATGACCGTTGTCATTTTCTTAAATCATAATCTTTTTTTTATGTTGCTCAAATTTCTTTTGTACCTGAAGCATTCTCTGAAATGCTTTTATGACTATCAAGGTCTTAATTCTAAGTGGCAACATTCAAATAAGCATAAAAACTTTAAAGAGAAACTATATTCTTGTCTGATTTTAAATACTTAAAAAGTTAGAGTAATTCCTCCAAGCTACAGATAAATTGGTCAGGAAAATCAAACCAAATCCCTAAACCAACTCATTATTTGATTGACTCTGGCCAATGTCTTAATCTCTCTGTGTTTGAATCTTCCAACTTTAATATTGATTGGAACTTTGATGACAAATGCCAATTATCTTCTAATAATCAGGTAGCAGGTTATGGATTGATTAAAACAAATCTGACCATGACACTGAACTCCTTAGGAGAAAGATGTTTTAGAATTTTTCAGGCTTAAAACTAAAAAACATTTTAGGAGCTTAACTGGGTCAAATTTTCAGAAAATTGCAGATCACATCTCCTGTCACAGTTTATGGTAAATAAAAAGCCTGAGAAAATTCTATTTTAATGGTTGTGAAAATATTTTTTTCAATGATAAAAAGAACCTTGGCCTATGTATAAAGGTTCTTTCTTTTTTTTTTTTACTTAGTTGAAAATCACCCATTTCTAAGCACATATTGCTATCCCTTTCTCTCCAATTTAGTTCTTCATTCCCAAATGCATTTTATTTTGTTATATTTATATTTATAACTTTATGTATTTTTTTACAAATAGTTTATTGTCAAATTGGTTTCCATATAACACCCAGTGCTCATCCCCACAAGTGCCCTCCTCCATGCCCATCTCTCCCCTCCCCCCCACATCCATCAGTCCTCAGTTTGTTTCTCAGCATTCAAGAGTCTCTCATGGTTTGCCTCTCTCCCTTTCCCCCACCATTTCCCCCCTTCTTCTCCATGGTCCTCAGTTAAGTTCCTCCTAATCCTCCTATACGTGCAAACATATGATATTTGTCCTTCTCTGCCTGACTTATTTCGCTCAGCATAACACCCTCAAGGTCCATCCATGTTGCTACACATGGCCAGATTTCATTCTTTCTCATTGCCATGGAGTATTCCATGGTATAGATAAACCACATCTTCTTGATCCATTCATCCATTGATGGACACTTAGGCTCTTTCCATGTTTTAGCTATTGTGGAGAGTGCTGCTATGAACATTGGGGTACATGTGCTCCTATGCATCAGCAATGCCATACCAATGAATTCCAAAGCTAAATTATTGTTTTGGCCCTTGATTCCTGAAGAAGGGGAAATATGCAAAAT